TTTAGAAAGAGGCGAGGTATCCTACAAACAATTCATTAAAAAAGTTTGAGTATTAGGTTTAATTATGTTTGCCACCGCTTGTAGTTTGGTTGGTCTTTGAATATACTTATTGAATAAAAATATTATAAAATAAAATTTTGCGTTATGAATAAAGAACAAGAAAAAAAAGAAATAGAAAAATATTTAGCGGCTCCATTAAAAGTAAATCCTTCGGCGGAAGACGCTAAAAAAAAACTTGAAAAACAAATTGGCTTTAAACGAGAAAAAGATACCAAAGTTGGAGCTAAACAACTCACCAAAGTAGTAGCAATAGCAGTGGTGCTACCAACTAGAAAGGTTAACAATATTGAGGCTCCGAAAACGAAAAGTAAGAGCAGCACCGGAATGGCCATTGCCGTCTTTGGTAATAATGCTTCTGCCAAATTGCCTGATATACCCGATACATTCATTATGGTGGCAGGAACCGCTGCAAAAGCGTAAATTAGCACCAAAGGAACCCCGTTTTTCATAGCCGTGTTCAAATTACCAATAATACTTTGTTGGGTGATTAGACAAATAATTATTCCCCCAGTAATGAGCCAACAATTAATAGCCTTTTCTTCCCAGTTACCAAAAGTCCCTCAATTTTTCTGCATATTCGGCTCTTTTTTACCAATCGGCATTTCCTCTAAATTTCCTACATTTTGATATTTATTTTCTCCTTCATAATCGTTACTTATCCATTCAGGAGTATTTTTAGCAACCGTATCTAATTTTAATACCCTAGCAAAGCAAGGAATTTGGGCAAAAATAGCTCCCAGGAAGAAAAAACCAGCTACTGCTAAAACTTTTTTTCTAGTTCGGTTAAATTTAGGAGAGACTATTTTTTTTGTTAAATCATTTTCTTCATTAATGCTTGTATCCTCATTTCTGCTGCAATATCAAATATTAAAAAGGATAATTATTGAAACAAAAAGGACGAAAGATAAAGCTCGGAAACTAAATCCGGAAAAGCCATCATAATTTACTCCTCCTTCAACCTTACCAGCAACACTACCAAAATGTTCTTTCATTCTTTCGCTGGAAGCAACACCCATTAAACCAGCTACCGCACCACCATAAAGACAAAGAATTGAAGAAAAGACATCAAATCCCATGGCCATCATAAGGGGAATAATCAAGGGGTAAAAATGAACGAATTCATCAAACCAACTCAGGTTAGAACTTAACAGAGCTGCTACCACAGTAATCAAAGCAATCGTTAAGTACTTCCTTTTTTTAAATCATTCTATTTGTGAAGCAAAAAGTGCTTGCAAAGCCTGACTTTGAAAAATAGCATATAAAAAGAAAGCAAATGCGAAAATTGATAATCCTTGTTTGTATAATCTTTTCGCCATCGTCTCACAAAAGTGGGGGAGAATATCAGTTATTCCTACCGTCGTTGTAGCAAGCGAAGTTAAGGTAAGAAGTATAGTTAAAAAACTTATTATAAAAGTTATTAAAAAAAAATTATTGTTGCTTTTTTTTTGCAAATTATTATTTTTCTGCATATGTTATTAAATTTAAAGTTTTTATCATGACACCAGTACCCCGTTTTGATTTAGATTTTCACGCAGTTCCAGCAATATCGCAATGAATAAAGGGTAGGCCTTGCACAAATTCTTGTAAAAAGGCGGCTCCGTTGGAAGACCCCATGTAACGAACGCTACTTATATTACTGATATCGGCAATGGTAGTATTGTTTTTTAAGTTTTTAGTGTTTTCGGGCAAAAGCGGCAATTGTCAAATGTTTTCGTGAGATTTTTGGGTGGATTGAATAAATTGCTGGTAAAATTCTTGATTATTAGTCATAATTCCCGTAAGATTTTCACCTAATGCTAGAACCACCGCTCCGGTTAAAGTGGCTACCGTAATTATTTTAGTAACTTTTTCTTTTTCTATCGCATAAGTAATCCCATCTGCCAACACCAAACGACCTTCGGCATCCGTATTGTTAATTTCTACCGTTTTGCCACTCATGGAAGTTACTACTGATTCAGTAAGAGTAGCATGACCGCCAATGGCATTTTCAGTTAAACAAGCTACTGCTACCACATTTATTTTTGGCTTCTTCTGAATTAGGGTAAAAAAAGAAGTGCAAACTACGGCAGCTCCAGACATGTCAAACTTCATGCATTGCAAAGATGAAGAAGGCTTTAAATTATAACCACCACTATCAAAAGTAATGCCTTTTCCTACTAGTCCCAGCACATTTTTTTTATTCTGTTTAGCACCAAAATAACGCAAAATAACTACTCGTGGCTCGTGATGGCTGCCAGCATTGACCGCTAACAACAGGCCCATTCTGTTTTCGGTGATAGATTTCTTGTCCAAAATCTCTACTTGGATATTTTCAAATTTACTGAACTTTTCTTTAACTGTTTCAGCAAACTCTTTTGCATGTAATTTATTAGGTGGTGCGTCTTGCAAATTTCTTGCTCAATTAACCGCCTCCATTTTAGTTAAAGAATTGTCCAAAATTGTTTTCGCATTCTTGTTTTTAGTTATTAAATAATAATTCTCGTTGCTTTTTTTCTCCTCTTTTTCCTTAAATTTTATTGTTTGGTGAGCACCAAATAATATTCCTTCAGCAATCACCTGAATTATTTTCTCTTCTCCTAAATTTTTTGAAACAAAAGACTGAACATCAATGTTTCAATTTCTTTGATTATCACTAGCAAATCTAACAAAATAGTCGTAAAGGTTTTGAAAGTTATAATTAATGCTTTCCTTGTCAATATATAGATAACAAGCCATTTCCTCAGAAATTAAGGTGGTTCTCCACTCTTTTTTTTCAACCAAAGGAGATAATTTTCCTTTATCCTTACCCGTGATTGCCTGAAAAGTCAACGAGTTAACCTTTGCTTTTTCTTGTAAATACACTTCAACCATATTCAATAGATATTTTATTAATATTGCATTGGTAACCAAAAAAATAATTCTAGATTAACTTTGCTGCAACCTCACAATTAAATCCTTTGTTTCGGGCTCCCTTTTTCTTGTCTTTTTGCCCTAATCTGCTTAAGTTTAATAGGAACAGAAGGCTCTTTTTTCTCTTTGTCTTTAGCAAACACTATTTTTCAAACTTCTTCATATTCTTCAACCGGAAGAATTTTAAGTTCCCGACGAACCTCTTCAGGAATATCTTCAATGTCTTTTTCATTAGATTTAGGAATTATAATCGTTTTCAACTCACTACGGCAAGCCGCGATAGCTTTTTCTTTTAATCCACCAATTTCAAGCACTTTTCCTTTAGAAGTAATTTCTCCGGTCATGCCAATATCAGTTGGCACCTTTTGGTTAGTCAAAGCAGAAATAATGGCGGTGGTTAAAGCAATTCCGGCACTCGGTCCTTCTTTTTCTACCGCTCCTTCTGGAGCATGAATATTAACATCCCGTTTTCTTAACAAAGCCAGTGCTTTTTTAAAAGTTTTTTTATTTTCTTCTAAATAAGACTGAATGTAACTAAAAGCTACTTCAACGGATTCTTTCATTACTTTCCCTAAACTACCGGTTGACCTTCCCAGTTCACCCTTTCCGGTAACTAAGTTTACCTCAATAGGTAAAATATCGCCGCCATATCCAGTCCACGCCAAGCCATTAACCACCCCCACTTTCGGGTTTTTTTGCTTCGGAGTAAATTCGTGAATTCTTTTCTTTAAATAATCTTTCAAGTTGTCAGGGGTAATAACCGTTTTATTTTCTAGATTTTGGAGGAGTCTAACTATAAACTTACGAATAATTACTTGGATTTTTCGGTTAAGTTCTCGTACTCCAGCTTCACGAGTATAGTATTTTATTATATCCCGAATAGTTTGATCTTCAAAAACTATTTCTCCTGAATTTAAATTATACTTTTTTAAATTCTCAGGAAGCAAATGTTCTTTTGCAATGTGAAACTTTTCCATTTCAGTATAAGAAGACAAACGAATTATCTCCATTCGATCCAATAATGGCAAGGGTAAATCGAGAGTATTAGCCGTACACAAAAACATTACTTCTGATAAATTATAAGGAACCTCTTGTCCCAAGTAATCATCCTTAAATTCCTTATTTTGATTGGGGTCTAAAACTTGGAGCAAAGCGGAAGCGGGGTCGCCGCGGTAATCAGAAGAAATTTTATCAATTTCGTCAATCAAAAAGCACGGATTAATTACCTTAACTCTTTTCATCGCTTGAATAATTTTTCCCGGCATAGCTCCAATGTAAGTACGACGGTGTCCACTGATTTCCGCAACATCCCGGGTGCCTCCTAGAGAAATGCTCACGAACTTCCTTCCCATTGCTTCCGCGATCGAACTTGCGAGAGAAGTCTTTCCCACTCCCGGCGGCCCAACTAAACAAATAACTTGATTCAGCGGTTTACCAGCCTTTTGTTGAGCCGCTAAATATTCAATAATTTTTCCTTTTATCTCAGACAAACCAAAATGATTCTCATCGAGTTTTTGTTGAGCAAATTTCAAATCCCTGATTTCTTCTTTCCGCTCTCATCATGGCAAATAATCAACTAATCAATCTACATATTGTTTAATAATATTAGCCTCGCTAGAACTACTCGGCATTGAATCATAGCGTTCAATTTCTTCTTGAACTACTTTTTTAACATAATCAGGATAAGGAAATTTTTCTAATCGATCCAAATATTTATTCATCTCGCCTCCTTCGCCACCCTTTTTACTTCGTAACCTTTTTTCAATAGCTTTTAGTTTTTCCCGCAAAAAATATTCTTCTTGTTGGTTATTGATTCGCTCTCGTGTATCTTTTTCAATATCACTTTCAATCTTTCGTCGATCCGGTAAATTAATCAGCAATTCTAATCTTTCTTTTAGATCCAAAGAAGAGAATATTTTTCATTTAATCAACGAGTCTACTTCCTGACTATTTTGGGCAATAAAATCAATGAGATTACTAATATTTCCTCTCATCATGGTCATATAAGGAAATTTTTCGACTGTACCTAACTTAGTTTTTTCAAGAATATTGGAAAAATGACGGATAAATTTTTCAGTTAACTCATCTAGTGCTTTTTCATCTATTTTTTTTTCTAGCAAAACTTCATATTCTCCCTCTCATTCTTCGTTTTTTTTTTCTAGGCTGGTTATTTTTACTCTTTCTAAACCTTTTAATTTAATTTCTTTACACGAACTAATAATTTGTTCAAAACTGCCCGCTTCAAAAACCTCTAAACTAATTTTTCCCAACGCCCCAACAAAATTAGTCTTTTCAGAAAAATTATTATTGTTTTCTTTGTTAAAAACAACTAACAGTTGCCCGCGATAATTAACCAAAGCTTGCAAAATAATACTCTTCCAACTCGGATTATTCTCCAAAGATAAATAGTTATCACAGGCAGGAAACAAAAAAAAGTTCTCTAAAAATAAAATGGGGAGTTTGTTCATATCTTTTTATTGTAATAATACAAAATATTTTTATAATTTTGGCGCCCATGAAGAGAATCGAACTCCTGACCAAACGCTTAGAAGGCGTTTGCTCTAATCCACTGAGCTACATGGGCTCATTAAATTATTTTTTAGTAAAAGTCCGTGACTTGTTTTTTAGGAATTCCAAAATCTTTTTGGCATTGGCAAAAGGAGAAGCACGAGTGCTATCAACTTGGAAGTCATACTGTCAGACTAAATTTTTCATTTTAATATGCTGAGCACGAACAAGACCCAAAACACGGTCCCACGAAGTATTTCCCTTTCTTCCATAAGAGATAATTCACAGTCCACCTTAATAAAATAAATTTTATGGGATTTTAGAGCCACGCAATACTTTTCTAAGTCTCCCCTCTCTCAAATTACTTCATCAATTATAAGATTATATCCATCATCGACTAATTGTTTAACCATTTTAGGAACTGAACTACTAACCAGTTTGCCGTAAGACCCAATTTTAACTTCGGTAATCGGAAATCCTTGTTCATCAAGGCTGGATACAAATTGAAAACCTAATTCGGCTTGCTTACCAAAACCAAAATACTTGTCAGGCATGGCTTCCAAAATTGCATCGATGCCAAAAGTTAAATATGGCTCTTCGCTTAAATGCTGAATGGCTTTGACTAATGAAGTTTTTCCGGCTGATGAAGGACCATTTAGGATAACAATCTTACTTTTTTTCATTCACTAATTCTAAAACCTTTTGGGCATTCTCCAAAGCACTAGTCAAACTATTATCAACTTCAAGATCATATTCCCAACTCAAACCTTTCATTTTTGCATATTGAGCACGATTTGTTCCTATAATGCGATCCCCTCTCGATTTTTCTCTGTTTTCTAAAATAGTTAGTTCACAGTTTACTTTTACAAAATAGACTTGATAATTTTTTAAATTATCCTTATAATTTTCTAAATAATTTTTCTCTAATATAACCTCCTCGATGATAAGATTATGTCCATCATTCGCTAATTGTTTAAATACTCTCGGCATTGAATCAAAGAGTTTTTCACCATAAGAATTAATTTTCACTTCATTAACAGGAAGCCCTTGCTTATTACGCCCAAGAATAAATTGTAATCCTTCATTACTTCTTTCACCAAACCCTTTGTATTTTGGAGAAAGGGCATTTCAAAAAGCACTAAGAGAAAAATTTAGTCAAGGTTCCTCACTTAACTCCATAATTTTTTCGGAAATAGAACTTTTTCCTGCGGAAGAACAACCATTTAAGAGAATAATTTTACTGGACATCGATAAAGATGATGATAAAAAACAAAAAGTACTGGCAATGAGCTATCTTCCCCGTAAAGAGTATTTTCGCCACGAAAGTGCTTGACTTCTGTATTCGGAATGGGAACAGGTATTACCACTTTGTTATAGTCACCAGTACTATATATTTATTTTTGATAGATTATTTCTATCGCTTGTTTTTTTAAATTTAATTTTATTTCTCTCCTTCTTCTTCCTCAGCAAACATCATAATAAGGTTATAAATTCCTAATATATATATATATATATTATTTTTCTCTCAAAACCGAACGCAAATTAAAAATACCTAAAATAAGTCCTCGATAAATTAGTATAACCAAGCTAAATATATTACTACACTTACACTGGTTACCTATCAAACTCCTGGTCTAGAAGTTATCTTACTCCCTTGCGGGATGGGAAATCTTATCTTGAAGTTAGTTTCACACTTATATGCTTTCAGTGTTTATCTAGTCCCGACGTAGCTATCCAGCCGTGCCACTGACGTGACAACTGGTACACCATTGGTCAGTCCACTCCGGTCCTCTCGTACTAGGAGCAGCGCTTCGCAAATTTCCTACGCCCACAACAGATAGGGACCAAACTGTCTCACGACGTTCTGAACCCAACTCACGTACCATTTTAATGGGCGAACAGCCCAACCCTTGGAAGTTTCTTCACCTCCAGGATATGATGAGTCGACATCGAGGTGCCAAACACTTCCGTCGATGTGGTCTCTTGGGAAGTATTAGCCTGTTATCCCCGGGGT